GATTATATAAGCTTTAATTACCAGCCAGTGTTGACTTGTGATTCTTACTTGGAAATTACATGTCATCCTTTTTATTTAATTTATATTTTCACTTGGTTTGCCTTATTCTACTTGTTCTAAGAAAAAAAGTTTATTATTCATACAGCAATCTATAACACAATTTAATATCCTAATCTTAAAAATGCTTAGACTTAATGCTTAACTTTAAGGTGATAAGCTGCCGCCTTAAAGCTAAGAGGCTCTACATGTTAGAAAGCATTTGTCTAGTTGACTGGTTTTGTTTATACTATGAAGCACCATCACCATTACTATGCCTCTATTGCTGTAGGACAGAGGAAGAGTACAGCTAAAGAGGGAACCGCAACAGCTTCTCCAAAGAAGAGGGATAACAAAAGAAAAGCAATTTTTCACAGATTTTCAGATTGACCTAACTGCCAGCGACATGTTATAACTGTAATTTTGGCCTTTGTTCCCAAATGAAACATGGTGTTTAGCATGTCTTTGGAAAAGAGAAAGTATATTAAAAATCATTTTAGTTCTTACTAGAGTTAAGACTTACTTACCTTAGTAGAGACAGAAATTATATTTGCAATATGAAACTATAACTCATGGGCTGTTTCTGTGGCACTCTAAGCCTGACCATTTTCAGAAATGGAGTAAAACGTTGAAAATGACCAATGTAACTTGGCACAGTACTTGCAAAAGTTTCAAGGAGAGTTATTAGCTGCAGGAAACTGTTTCAGTTTTGAAAAAGAAATGCAGATGCTTTTTGCATACTACTGTATACACTGTTTCCAAAAGCACCTGCATTTTGTTTTGCCCATTTGACCCAGTATCTTTAATTTTCAGTGTTTAGTCTTTTGCTTTGGAAAAATTAAAGTTAAGCCGCACTCAGTACACAGTGATATGAGCTTGGCTGTGTTAAACCTGGGCAGAGAGATGATCTTTCACCCTGCCTAACTAATGGTTACTCCTAACAAAACTCTTTCCTCATTCCTCAAAAAAAAAAAAAAAAAAGAAAAATCTATAAAACCTGTCATAGTTAGGAACTAGATGCCCAAGAGAGGAAAGTAGGAAAGTCGCAGACTAGGACTAAGTACTCATTCTACAAGCCTCCCTCTGTGCAGCGCTGCCAATGCATATTTATCAGAGTCTGCAAACTCTGTGCTATCCCGGCTCTGCTGAGTCTCCTCCTGAGAACAGACTGTCAGTTATATCAAACTGGGTGTTAAAAGCTGCTGGGATTTTGTGGCTTGAGCGTACGTTTTCTGAAGACAAAACTGGAATCAAGCTCCTTTTCCATTGGGAATGAAATGCATTTCTGAACTGTGGTGTTCTTGTAGGGAATCAACCAAACCACCCTTTCCCTCTCCTCTTCTCACTCTCTGGAACCAAAGACAGATACAATTTCTCAAATGGTTTGAACAAGTACCTTGCCTAAGTCTCACGATATATATGGTATGAGTAGAATCAGAAACTTGCTTTGTTAGACATAGGGAGAGCTGAAATGATGTAGGATTTGCTGGACATTCATGCCAGAGAGAAGAGACAGCATACTCTATCTATAGAAACTCCTCTAGTTTTTATTCTTAATGACACTGCGCGCCAGCTGCTTTATGTCTCTCTATCTAGCCCTCTATCTCAAAGTTGGGAGTACAACAAATATGTTAATGCACAGAGGGAAGATGATTGGATTGACATGGCCTCCTTTTCTTATAATTTTTCTATTAGAGAAGTAGGGATTTCCTACAGAAGCAGGGATTTTAGGTGCCTTTTTTTGGTATAAAAATGCACAGCTAAAACATACCTCAATTACTAAACTGGACAGAAATGCTAATGAAAGCACTGACATCTCCATGCATTCCAGACAGATTCAATGAAATCAATGTTCTTATAGCAAACACCAAGTGATGTGCAGTAGGAACAGATGAAGATATTAACAGTGGTTGCTCTGAGGGGCCAGTTGTTGAACAAGTAGATTGTACTCAGGATGTTGCAGGGCAGGATTGAGGTGTAATGGTACAGCTGTCCAAGGAGAACTCACACTGTGCCTGGCTACATAATAACAGCTGTGATTTCTACACAAGCATCTTTCAGTTATACAATATACTCTCTTACACTCTTGTTACAGGCAAATTATGCACCTGCTATAATTATGCACCTTCAAGTTTGGTTGAACACTGATCATCAGAAACTTCAAAAGGGAAAAAAAAAATCTCTTTGACAATATGTTTAGAGGCATTTTCATTCTGTTCTTGCAAAACCATATTTGAGATTGAATGTGTTGATCCTACAAATGCAGGACCAGTAACCTTAACTTCAGAGATTAGGACAGAATAAGCAAACTACTTCTTCACTGGAAACATACAGACCTTTCAAATGTCTGTTTTGCTTGGCTTATTGGACAACGCCAGCTACGATGCATTCCCTGGTGCACATTTAGGGGTTAGAAGAAGAGACATTTCCATGCCTGTTTTCACTGATGACCCTCAAGTCAGATGGTGAACTTGCTACTGATGTCATGAAGCACTTGCCATCTGAACCAACCACCTTCAACTCTCCTAACTCATTCCTCCTAATGCAGTATCATGACCTGTCCCCATCCTTCTTTCCTACAAATAAACAGTCTAGCAATTAAAAGAAGCCTTCTTTCCAATCATAAAAAAGTGCATACCAGTATCCAAGACAACACTGTTTGTGCATGGCAAACAAAACAAGGAATCTTGGTTCTAAATCAATTTTCAGCCGAGTTTGTTGTTTGTTTGTTATTTATTCTCCAGCTTTCTTCACCATTGCCACTCCAAAGAAAAAGATGTAAGAAAGAAGCATTTCTGAGGCATGGCCCTCTGCACATGTAGCCATAGCATGAACAGATGCTTAAGAAACCTGTGTTTTCTAGAATATAAGAATTGTCTGTAAGAAGATCCATCTCTTCTTTGAGAACATCTTCCCTTTCTAGTGAACAGTTTAAAGCCTAGTGAGAAAAGCTAGTTCTATGCAGGAATGACTTAGATTTGTGTTTAAGTATGTTTAGAGCAAACAAGCAAGATAGGTTATTTTGAATGTAACCAACTGTACTAAAGTTTCATTAGCTATACTGGACTTTATCTTGCTCACCTCTGCTGAGCTAGACAAATCCTTTGAGACGAGCAGTACTGCTAGCCAAACAGCAAATATGTTCTCAACAAGGAAAGAATCCATCAGACTTAGAAATACCAATATTACTTCCCTTTGTTTTTGTTTAATATTTTTAATTTAATATTACATAATTCTGCCATTATTATATGGTAGAATTTTTTATAATTTGATAATTGTTCAGATGAGTGGCTTACCTAAAACAGGGAGATTTCCTTTAAGTAATACAGAAATATACTGTTTAAACCTTTCAGCTGTTTACAACACATTTGGAAACCTACAGAATACTAGAATCTTCTCAAAAAGGATACAAGTACCGGGAGAGAAAAACACCGAGAACCTAACTGCTAAGACAACTCATGTCACCATAAAAAAACGTATTTGCAAGCAACCCCTTAGAAACAACAATCAAAATAGACAAAATACCCCACATCCTTGTATATAAAACCAGTTTACACTGAATAACTCAGAAGTCTAATTGGAAATATACTTTTAAAATTTAACAGGATTTTAACATTCAGAAAAATTCTACACAGAGTATAATACAGCTTTTTACTGTTGTTTTGCTTTTGTTATGTTTATTTTAGCAATGTTTTTCCTGCTTTTAGTCTTCATCTAACATAAACACGCTACTTCTGGAAAGACCGGCAAAGGCTATGGGTTGATAGTGAAAGTTGCTCTCTTATTTTGGAGAATTTCCTCTTTCTACCTGTACTTGAGCCAACCTCTTAAAAAATATTTACTGAGTCTTTTTCCACATTGTACAAGGTGAGTATTTACATTCTTTTACGAAGCTTACAAAATGCAGTAAAAGTTAAAATGGTGCACTAAAACCATTGTAAAGGAATGATTACTAAGACTGTTCCAGCAGAGGATTGGAGGCAAACATAAGGAGCAAGGTGTGGGACTGGAATGCCCCATTCCAGCTAACTATAAGAAGATATTAGCACATGACATGAACAAGAGTCCTTCTCCCTGGCACAAGGTATCATTAAATATAAAGCAGCATATTGAAACTACCTCCTTAGTAAACTCTTTATACTCTACATGTTTTATTAGTCTTATTTGTCCTGTTTGAGCCAAACACTCTGATTAGTCTCTCACTTCCTTATATTGATCTGCTTTCTGAAACACTGTTGGAAAACATCACCGAGAGACATTACTAAACTGGACAAGGGATACACACATATGCTCACACACAGTTTAATACCATTTCTCTTTTTTTGAAGCTGCTGTTTATTAAAGGAATTGGTTACTTTGTTTTCATTGTACATTTATGCCTCTTGATTTTGGGATCTAACTGTGCTCTATGTGCTAAAACCAGGTTGCAAAGCCTTCTGAGGGGCTGCAAGTAGCTCTTCCAAAGCCTGAATAAATAACTGGACTTTAGTTAAACAATACTGACTGTAGTAACAGGTTTACTTTGAAAAATAAATGTCTAAATGGAAAGCTGGGATTGTCAAGTAAGCAGCTCGTGTTTATGTGTATGGCTTTCAAATTACCATCTACACCTGTGCCATAAACTGGTACTAGAGACAGGCTAAATTAATACAATGCTATTATTAGTATTATTACTTTACAACATTCAGGAGTGTGCAGATGCTTTACAGTACAGTGCAGACAGATACTGTCCCTATTCCCACAATGCAACAGGGGTAGCATCTGGATCTCTGATCCCTCTACTTCATTGCAGAAATGTTTACACTACTGAATCTGTTTGTGGTGGTCATAAATTTTGTGTTTCCTTCCTTCCAAAGAGAAAGCAACCTGGAAAGGGAATCTGACTTTCTCTCGAAGTAACAGAGTAAATGTAAAAAGAGCTTATTTAGCCATAATAATATACAAGAAAAGAAAGCTATCTTTACCTGTGAAATAAGACAGACTTGACAAGCGTGACAACATCCCGACTGGCATTGTACCCTGCACAAACAATGGCAACGTGGATGGTCTGTGGGAGAAAAGGAACAAAAAGAACAAAAATTAAAGCCTGCTCCTGTGCTTTATCACTCATCAAGGAAAGCACATGAATGACAGTGCTATTATTTAGTGTGGCAATTGTTGAAAATTTGAGTGAGCATTTTGCAGCTGTTTGGAGCCCGCTAGAGGCAGTTTGTTAAAAACATCTTAATTGAGTTATAACACCATCATCATTCCAAAGTCATTACTATCCCTAAATTACATTGAATGTCTGAACAGAATTGCATTTATTAGCTAAGAGCATATGTGTGTGCATGTGTATACACCCCCCCCTTCATTTAGCAGCACACAAAATTCTGAGTATGCAAACATGCAGACACTTTAACCTTATGAACTGAAGTTTAAAATTATGTCTGATAATTAGAAGCAGATATGCTCTTAGAAATTTTGCATTATTTCCGTCTTAAGTACTGCTACTAAGGAAATAGTGAGCAAGCTCTGATGGATGAGCACTGAGTGGGACAACTGGTTTGCCAGAGGCTGGGTGCATCCCAGTGATAAGATGGTGCATGAGCTGTGAGGGCTGTACCGGGCAGTGTTAATGTGAAGTTAAATACAACCCCCTCACACACATTCTTGTCACCCCAGCACCTTGGTAAATTCTCACTTGTTCTGTGCCTTCTTACCTCCCATATGAGGCGGAGGTTTATTAATCTCTTCAAGAGGAAAGGGAAAATTGAAATGGCACTACCAGTCATTATTATTAAGGTAGCAAGTAAGAATTTGAAAAATGCTGTTAAGTGACTCTTCTCTGGTTTTAAAATTAGCCATTGGTTATTCCCTGATGACAAAGAAAATTAATCTTAGCAAGTTTGGACTTCAGCTTCCATATTTTTCTGTTTCTTAGTGGTCACAGAAATGAAGGAGAGCTTACCATGCTGGCAGCACAAAGCTGCGATTGGGGACACAGCTGTGAAACTGCAGGGAAGCTTCATTTGGCTTCCATTTGAAGCTTGGTTAGCTGGTTTCTCACACACACAGCTCTTATTTTCCACAGAAAGCCCACTACGCACAGAACAAATGAGGAATTCTGCCTCCTCACATAGTCATAGATTCCCAAAGTCTGTCTTGTAACAAAAGCAGATTTACACAAGAGGTGGCGTGTGTTGGGCATGTCTAAAGAGTATATAGCCCCATCCATTAACATCACCTGGTACAGGGCACAATTTGAACCAGATAACTGCCAAGTGGCTGTGCCACTGTGCAACCCCCACATGAACATCACAGCTGCCTCCAGCCCTAGAGTGCCTCATAAGCTGAGCACATTGAAGATTTGAGGTTTTAAGAGGAATTGAATTAATAAGGTAACTGTCTGTCCACAGAGGTGTGAGAAAGAAAAGATACTGCAGTAGATTTTGGCAACAGCTCTGTGAGGTATGCAGCACTTTGAATTTGTGTTAAAGTCGATGGGAGTTGAGCACGCTCAGCACTTTGCAAAAATGATTGTGTTTCTCTCTTGTGATAACAACAGGGGAGAACAGAGGCTGCTTATTAATGACTTTTATTGCAGCAGTGTTCGTATCACACTTATGGGCATGGGTTCCTGTGTGTGCACAGATTCCTGACATTGCCACCTTGTTGCCACCTTGGTTGCCACCTTGTCTTTCTCAGGCTTTTGGAAGACCTAAGATCCTTCCTTTCAATGTCAATTAAAATAAAATTAACTGAGAATAGTTTCATGCCTGTTTTAAACACTTCACCTGAAGACACTGGACCAGACACAAACATTTTATGGATTTTGACAGAATAGCGCTGTCATATCACTTTCAACATCATTTCATATTACCTCTACTTGCCAGAAAAGCTCTCCTCACAGCCTCTCTCTCCACCTTACAACTCCCCTGAAAATCAGGCTTTATTCTGTCAAGGACTTGCCCACATCTGTTCTCCTTTTCCTAAATCTGTTTGTTTCAAAATTAAAAGCGTGCTTTCCTCACTGTCTTCTAGCAGGTGCTGTCATCTCGCATGCTGTTTCAGCTAGGGCACAGTGAGAAGACAGCACTTGCTGCTCTTCTGAATGTCCTTCTCCAGTTCAGAGACACAGGCATCCATGTACCTTCTGCTCAGCCTCTCTCTGGTGTGTGATACTACGTATCTAATCCTGCCTGCAATCAGCTATCGGAAAGGTCAATAATCCTCAAAGAGAACAGAAACCTCGTGCTTTTTTTTCATTTTTTTTCCCCACATGCTGCAAGACTCAGTCTTTTCCTGAGTTTAACTGTTTAACCATTAAACAAAATCAGAGGGAAAACTGATGTCAACATGAGGTCAACAACCTGAACTGTCTGCAGAGGTTTGCATCCTCATGAAAAAAAATATTTCCAGTTTTCTCCATGCTTGTTCCAAATACATGTTTGGACAGAGAGCAGCTGGCTGTAGCCACATCCTGGCAAGAAAGGGCAACAGTGTCTGGAAGAAGAAAGCACTTCAAAGAACTTACACCCTGCTGAAGATACCACTGTAAGCATCAGCTCCCAGATGATTAAATTGGTCGGCAGCATCACAGTATTCTCCAACCCCTCATTTTCGATCTGCAGATCGCTAGAAGATTGTATCCCCATCCCACGAGAACTGGCCACTGTGATTTACACAACATCTGGACTGCAGCTAACACGTACGAGTGAAGCCATGTAAGCCAAGGCTGTTCCAACGTCCACAACAAGCGGCAACCTGTCTGCTTTGTTCAGCATGTCCCTCCACACATCTCACACCAAGGCTCCATATGCTACACTTGCTCATCGTGGTTCATAATCTGTGACAATCCTAACTGTCAAACACTAGCCTGGTTATTCAGAAGTCACTGTGGGGCTAAATTAATCTCCTTGAAAGTGTCCACCCTCCCACAATGTTTTTTCTAAACTGAATGATGATAGACATGTCCAGCCCTGGTAGAGGTTGCAAGAAGTCTGGACACAGGCCATTCTATGGAGCTGTTTTTAGACAATGGAACCCACTGCACCAACAGATTAAATGTTGATACAGCTTGCTTTCCAGTCTTAATGAATTATTTCTTTGTTTATACTGTGGAAGTTAATCAAGCTGTTCTTCCTACAGGTTGGGGATTAGGGAGACAAAGAGAACTATTTTTTTTTATTTTCTATAGTTTAGGGAGCACTCAGGCATGGGTACTGAAAGGCATTTAAGGAAGTTAAGCTTCTTCAGGAAAAGGAGTTTAAATAATAACAAGGTGCAAGCTAACACAGTTTATAAATTATTACTTTAGCCACTACATACCAGGAAGGACAGTTTCTCAAAGCAATGTTTTATATAAATTCATTTTGGGATTATATTAATGGGAAGAAAGTATCCAAAAACACATGAAGAACTGGGCCTTAGGTCCCATGCTTACTAGGAGTATAAGGTACTATGTAAGGCCTAGATAAACAGATGTTATTTTTTCCCTCCTTAGGCTAATTTTTGGAATGGTGAAATAATGAGCTTAACAAAATCTAATTAGTTCTTATAGCTAAAAATAATCTTTGGTAAGCATTTCATACTTCAATAATTTTCCAGCAGTACTAGCCAAGCACTCCATTGCAGTTACTTAATCCTTCATAAGTAATTGTTGAATGTGGTTAAGAGATATTAAAATTATGTTACAAAAATGTAAATATGCTACAAATGTTTCCCAGAGGTAAGTAACATCTGCTTTTCTTGTGCTTTCCAGTGCTTAAGTTGGTGGGGGCCTGTTCTTTGTGGCTCTGGAGCACTACACCCTTAAGCCTATTATGCAACACCATTGAGGAAAGTTAACAATACAAATATGCCTGCAAAAATGCTTCAAATGTTAAGTATTCTGTTAACCTACTAAATGCTACACTGCTAATTAACCCTTTTCTAATATATAGTATCTTTTAAAAATATTTATAAATGCACACTTAATTCAAACAAAATGCTCAGTTTATGGAAGCACAAGCTGGAAAGACACTGAGATAACATCGCAAGAAAGAGTCATATCATTCTATTAGCTTGCACCAGCATTATGCTCTTCTTCTGAAGCACGTTATTTGTGCCCACGTCTGTGTAAGGACTACTCTTACTTATATTTCCAAGGCTTGTGTTAAAATTGTCTCCTACTGGGATGGCATGACAGGGATCTGCTCCCTCCAGGGAGAAGGCCCTTAGTTGGAACTATGACTTTTTCTTGCAATATAATGCTGGTTTTATAATATCAGAAGAGCTCTCCTGCAACGCAACACAGTAGGAAGTGGTGGTTGGAACGCAACAAACTCACTGTTGTTTGATATAGATCACAATTATTATCACACAGATTATGCTTTATCAGATATTTAATGTTCACTCATTCTAACTGCATTTTCAAATGCTTTAATCATCACTAATGACCATCCCAAATTAGATTCTGAAATGTCAACTTCAGTAAACCTCCAAGAACTGCTCCAATGAAATAAACAACCCATTCCTAGCTCTCTCTGTCTACCCTAGAGCCCCTGTTTTCTTCTCAGGACCCTTGTGTCTTTCTACCCAAGCTATTGACTCTTGCTGTGATGTATTCCAAGGTCAGGGGCTAAAAAAGTTTTTGTTTACACTGCTAAAACACTGAAAGCAGAGGGTAAATAGAATTAAGATACCACTCACACAAACACGGAACCAGAATCTACAATAACAGGATAAACTATGAGACCTCTGGCAAATCTGATAATAAGGAATTTTAATTTTAACTTCCATTGCTTTTACTGAATTACTGAGTGAATTTCTTAAGAAAAAGAAGAAAAAGCTATTTCGTTATCAAAATAGTGTGCAGTGAGATAGGGGGTTGGTAAATAAAGCGAGGTTTCATATTTTATATAACCATTGCCTCTAGCACAATGCTAAACCCCACTGAGCAAGTAAATTTATTGGCAAAACACATTAGAAACTGAAAGACCACTTAAACTATTCCTCCTTTAAGCTGCTATTTTTGTGTCCCAAATTGGTTGGTACATTGAACAACCAAGAACTGAGATTCAGCTCATCACTCCTTGGCATGATAATAAGGGAGAAGTGAGATTTGCTTATTTATGGCCTGAACCTTCCCTTATTAAAAGAAATGCCAAAATGCTTACATGGAGGAAAATTAGACTCTTGCTATTGTGAGGAGGGAAAATGAAAAACAGATTCCTCCTTTTCCCTCTCCTTATAATAATGTTGGTTCCTTTTTCCACACTGATGGACAAAGATGTCCAATTGGAGAGCAATAACTATTTTTTAAATGGTATTTGATATTTGTCCAAATAGACTTTATCAGAAAAGATAATTAAGACTTCTTTTTCTCTCACACCTATTTTCTTTCAACTTTTATCTTCCCAGTGGCAGAAATCAGGATAAAAGGTGAGACAGTATTACCCTCTTTGTAGAAATAAAAGGAGGAATAATTTTTGGTATCTTCACCAGCTGGGATTGGCACAAGGGCTTTAAGCAAGCCTTTCTCTTTTGGATCTGTCATAATTCAGATATCTGACAACTTAATAGATGGATGACACCCACAAAACCACTGGCATAAAATGGGAAAAACCAAACCAAAACAATCCCCCAAAACTTCTTAGAAACAGATTTCCTGTTCCCTGTAGCCAACCACACTTCTTGTGCACGGCTCATGCAAAGCAGGTGGTTCCACAGTAGCATCCAGATATACTCCTGAAAGTGACTCAAAAGCACAGGCTGGCTCCATAAGCCACAAATTAATTAATGGTAAACCCTGAACTGTTCTAGTACAGATGCACAAACAAAGGAAAAGGGCTTTTCAAAGCACTCTGGTGCTTTCATTTAATTTAGAAACACACAAGGTCAGTTTGCCACAGGTCTTTATCAGCACAGCTGTATTGAAGTCAGCTTGGAACAAGGCTTTGATTTTTAAACCAGTTTTGAGGACATTAGAATGAAAAAGTCAAAAAGCTCTGATCAAATAATAACTCAAAAGTTATTCAGATGATTAAATGTTCTAAAGTCTTTTTAAAAAAAGAATAATTAAAAATTATCTAAAAAGTTGTGCCCACTAGTCCTTTAAGAGGCTGGTTTCTGAGCAGAAAGTTTCAGTGGGAAGGAGACGGGGATTTGCAATGTCCTCAAAGGATCAAATCTATCAAGCTTTGTTTCTGGCAGGTTCCTTTTGTTTATTTACCTCACATTTTTCCACTGCTGGTTGCTGCCCACACTCGGAGCTGTTCCCTGCCACAATGCCCGCCCGCAGGCTCTCGCTGTCACCTGTCCCCTCTTCCATGGAGTAGGTTTTGGAGTGATTGCCACGGTGGTGCGAGGGGCTGCGACTCTGCGCCAGGCTGAGCTGCTTGCGAAGCACACGGTTCTCCTCCTCTACCTCCCGCACGCGGACTTCCAAGCTCTCACGCTCCCGCTGGCTCGATGCTGTGTATCGAGGACTGTGGGGCTGGGATTCAAGTGGAGACAGCGACACTGGCTTCCCATCTGCAAGAGAAGGAAACAAAATACTTCTGTCAATTGCATTTTCCTTTAATGTCAGCATTGTGGGGCAGGGATGTGTTTCAGATACAGCCATGTTTTACTTGGCACTTCAAGGAGATGCTTAAGTGAATGGTAAACTTGGACAAATGCTGAAGTTCTATGAGCTACAGGTCCTACTAATTTTAAAAACCACACCAAAAGATAAGCATGTGTTTCTTCTGTTCTGGATAGGGCTGCCTGCCAGTCTCTCGTCTGGGGAGACAGTCAAGAACAGAATGATTTAATTCAAGGACAATTAATATGTAGTTAAATATATTTTAGAAACTTATGCAAGACAAAATTATTTTCCTATTCCCCACTTCCTCCACAGTCAAGCTACAGCATCTTGGTTACCATTTTGTGCCAAACAGTAGCCTCAGCTGAATATCATGTGAGGAGCAGATGGGTTTTATTCAGCAACACAGTCCTATATGCTTGCTGAGAAATAGGATGTTTAGAAGAACAGAAATGTTCAATACACATGTAGGTCAAATTCTGGAAAGTATTTGGACCAAAAAAGACAACAAAGGAATTTTGAAAAAAACAAAATGGTTAAATTCAACAGCTTTAACTGAAAAGTTATGTTCCAGATATAGGAAATACTTAATTTTCACATTTTCAAAAGGTATTTTCTTTGTTCAAAACAGCATTAAAAAATGAGCTAGATACAAATTATAAAAAAGATAAAATTAGCCTGAAATCATGGTCCATAAACAAAGACAACTGCAATACATTCTATCATCACTTCCCAGTACGTTATTGCTACCAGATTTTAAGGGAGCGAATAAGGATGCAGCTAATGTATTTTCAAAGGAGACATATTTTAATATAATTTTTAAAAAAGCTATATATATAAACACAGAGTACAAATGCTTCAAAGGGGGTAAAAAAACTTCAAACTAAACTACTGTTCAAAAATGTTCAATTGAAATAAAACTGAAAGAAAGGAAAAGACAGTAAGAGTTATCCACAGTGACATAATTAGCAAGACATTCCTCTACAGTGAAGATATGTCAGTATCTCATACTGAGGTATTTATCTGAAATAAATATCTACCTGCATATATTAAAAAAAAAAGTTTGCTATTTAATAATTTCTCCAATGGGGAGAGTCCAATTGGCTTTATCAACCAACCACCAGTGGTTTAGAAAATGGAAATCATGCAGTTATTGTTTTGCAGTTCTCCTTAACAAGTACATTTCTCGCCCTCTGACTCAAAACTATCTCCCTGCTATAAGGACCTGCTCATTGCTTGTTCTCTTCCATTGTTTCTTATTTACATGAATGGTGAGCAAGCCTCTAAACTAAGTTCACGAAAAAACAGCTATAGAAATGAAAACCTCATTTCTAGTTTCCATTTTGACTTATACAGATGTACAAACTTCCTGTTATTTGTACATAGCTATCCTGGTTTTAATACATTCGTTGTATTTGCTTAAAGAGTTTCTCCTCAAATTTTTTTTCAATTTATTATTTTTACCATTAGCAAAGATTATGGATAAATCTGAGCTTGAAAAACATCTCAAGACAGATTCCGAAGTCTGTCCACTGATATTTTAGAACTTGAATGCTCAAGCAAATAATTATTAAAAATTAAATGACAGATTTGAAAAGCCTGAAAATCATGGATGTAACAATAGAGAAACGTCAACATCAAGGACAGAGCCATGCTATCGTTAGAAGTGCAATAAAATACTGAGTTATCTTTCTCCATCCAGCTTGGAAGGCATGGAACTGAAATTGTGCTATTTCTCAGTTGCTGATACCTAAGCTAGGAAGACTAAAACTCATTTGGATGTGACTACACACTCCTATTACTGGTCAGCAAGAGTGTATTGCGTAGACACTCTCAGATAAAAAGAAAAACAGCATTCCTACTCAGCCACACAACAACCCAACCTGTGTTATCACGAGACACACCATTACAATGCAAATCTAGCCAAAGACTTCACTGGCAATCATAACTCCCTACTTGGTGAATATCCAGTATGAAACAGATGCTACTTATCTCTTCCTATGCTTTTCACTGAATTCTGCTACCTTCTCAAACAGTTACCAGAAAAGGTACTGAGCGATTTGTAATGGTAGCAAGATATGGAATTAAATCTCAAAACATTCATCAAGATTCAAAATATGGAAAAAATTGAGACATCTCTTTAGCTATTCTACAGACATAAATCAACAGGTCAAAAATGTTGCTTTGCCAAAATTCAAAATTAACAAAAAAGATACCATTTTGTACATCTGAACAATTGTAGCTATATTTATGAGAACAGCTGAACTGTTTCTACATAATATTTAGAGGAAAAAGCATAGTTTGAGAAAGGGACTGAAATAAAATATCACCTCACTGCCTCAGATTAGAAGTTGCAGCAACTAATGAGACCAGCTCAGTGTTTATGTAGCCTGAGCTTTAAACGCCAGTCAGCTCCATCACTGTCTTCTCAGTACTACATATTTCTGCTGGTATGTAAAAAGTAGTAAGAAAATCATGTCAGGAATTATATAACCAGCTAGTTTCTTTATCTGAAATATACAACTGCTTGAAATGTATTGTTTTACTACAAAAATTATCCACGTTTCGTTACAAAGTGCTAAGTCCAAGATATTTTCTGGGATGATCTCCTCAGGGTTCATACAGCTGGACAAGTCACATTTTGTTACTAACACTGCTGATTATTCTCAGGTGTATCTTGATGTATCTGGTATATTAATAACACCCCAACTCCCTGCTGCAAATGCTAATGTGACAATTCCAGGACCCACTTGAAATAAAGGTATAAAATAAAAATTGAACTGAGTTTCATCTTAAGACTCAGAAATCAAATAATTTTTGTCATAAATGTTGAGATGGTCTAGCTTGTAATTTCTGCACATCTGAGGTTGGCAAGGCTGGTGGCAACGTACTATTTGGTTTAGTACTATTACCAGACAGGACATGTGAGGATATTGTGACCTCAATGAACATACAGACATAGCAAAATGCCTCTTGGGAGCTAGTGCCTAGTAGGTCAATACCAACACATGCTACCCTGATCTGCTTCTGCAAGGACTCTGAGTTTCACCTCATCTTTGAAGGAGTTAAGTGGACTAATGTGAGGGGCCACTAGTATTTGATTCTGTGTGCTGCTTGGTAGAAGAGTTAAACTGATTGCACTGCATTTGAGTTTTATAGTTTTAAGTAACGGGTAGAGTGCTCTGAGCTGATGTCTAGGCACTTATTATCTAATCTAAATCAAAATAAAATAACATAACACATAACGAGGTCTGTGTGACTTTGGGTAGAAGATCTCCCAGGGAACACTGCAAGGAACACTGCTGTGCTCTGAAGCAAGTAGTATAATTTTGAATGGTGCAATAAATAATAATAAAGCCAATTAATTTTTATTCTTCATTTGGGGTTATTGTTCTATTTTTGGGCCTTGGCAGTCTTAGATTTAATTTTTTTTCTATCTGTGTCAGGTCTTTTATTTCAGACTTTCCATGCTAATACAACTGTACTAAAGAAATAAAAATTACCACTGTCCACAAAACAAAACCTAAACACAAACCTGATTATTTCATGGTTGACAGCAGTCAATGACTTAATGTCACAGTAAGTCAAACAATTCAGAAAACTTGACAATATGCAAGTTATGAATTCTATGGATTATTGAATGCTTCTGCATATGTGGAGTCACCTGTACTTAAGGTAAGAGATTTCATTAAACCTTACTTAGGAAGAGCACCTTAAGACACCGGAAGAAAGCAAGCAATCCACCAGTTTATTTGAAAGGAGAGAGACTGAAGCAGTGGAATTTTCTTACACACAAAACCTAAAGGATAAGCATTAACACCAAGTTCCTAGTTTTGTATTTAGCAGACTTGGAGAGGTTTTAGTCCTGACCCAGTGACATCAGAAGCTTGCTGGGGAAAGAGCCACAGAGAAAGCAAAGTTTAGTCAAAGGTTAACTGCAAGGCTGAATATGGGAGGAAGAAGAACAGTGCGGGAAATCCTTGATTCAGAGAAGACAAGTACAGAAGCAGGGATCCTGAGTTTCTCAGATGACCCTGATCTGAACTCAAACGCTTACAATTTTGTCAGGAACTGAGGCAGGCAAATTTATGTAGCCTGTTGTGGGACTTTTTCTCTAATTTTTTACATTTCTTTTGCTATCTTAAGTGCAAACTACTTGGGTTTTTTTGGCATATTTACAAGGTCTAGAGGTTTCCATGTGTTTTGGCTATTATTCATCCCCTGCCTAATAGTGTGTATTACCTTAATAATGAATTAACCGATGACAGTGAACTCTAGGCTGCCTCTGAGATAAGAGAAACTTATGCTGCTCACAGATAATGTTTAAGTCTCTCTGACTACAGATACAAGAAAACACCACTCCTCCATTTCACATTTGTTCACAGTTGAAAATTCGTATTATCAGCGCACCCTTTGAGGACTAGCAGTATAAAAATTTTAACCAAAAGCCAACATACTGCAGAAAGAACTGGGATAGAAGGCAACCACCCTCATGAATTTCCCCCTGTTAAGGCCACGAGCAAAATCATTTGAAGTTCACTCCACAATTATTTTTTTCCCCATAAAGACCATTGTAGAGAACTCCATGAACCCTAAGGGAAAAGAAAAATAAGAAGACTGCAGTCAGGACTATGGAGACATAAAAGCTCTGTGTAAGCAGATAAACTATCCCTTTTCTTTTGGAGCTCTAGCTCAGCTTTAATCATCTAACACCTTAGTACTCTATGCACTTCTGCTCAGCTGGATGCTCTGGTAGGTATCCGTTATACGGGCAGCTATGAATGAAGTTCTTTTTGTTAGCAGTTTGGTACTTTAAGATATATGCCTCCAAGAGTAGGTGCTAAGGCATCCCAAGGTGCCTATTCTCACACTTACCGAGGTATTTTTTTCTCCTATGCCTTTTTGTAAATCACTGCAGTGTGATCTCAGCTGGAAGTAGAAAACCTTG